CCATGGAAGAAGGAGCATGGAGTAACAATACTGGCGTATTCTTCAGGACTTGCTTAGCTTTATTTCTTAGGCAGCCAAGACTACCTGCCCAGGGATTATATAGTCACTGCCAATCAATCAAGAAAATGCCCTACAGACTTGCCAACAGGCAATCTGATGGAGGCACTTCCTTAGTTAAGATTCCTCTTTCTAGATACCCTAGCTTGTGTCAGTTGACACAAACAGAATCAACAGAATACATGCACATGAGTTTCACCTACTGAACCAAGGTAGATTTAGCCTAAGGGTCTCTTCAAATAGGGTTTCTAATGGCCCAGACAGTATTCCATTCCATTAAGAAGCTAAAGATGACCTTGAACTCTTGGTAATCCTACCTCTATCTCCAAAGTGCTAAGGTTACAGGTGTGTGCCACAATGCCCTGTTTTATTTGATAATAGGAATCAGAACAGGGCTTCATGAATTGTGAGCAAGCCTCTACCATGTCTCCAATCCTATGTTCAGGTCTTAATGGCATTAGCATTGAAGGTATTCAAGTTTCACTTGATTTTATAAAAGTATTTCTAGCATCAAGAATGAGTATTAACATACTGGGCACTTGATTGGGTAACAGCATTTTTTTAAATACCCATGCTTATTTCTGTGTTACAAGTTCCCATTCCTTTTCTTCCAGGTCAAGACTGATACAGTTATCATCTTATGTAGAAAGAAAGCAGAAAACACACGATGGGACTACTTAACTCAGGTGGAAAAAGAATGCAAAGAGAAAGAGTAAGTTTAATAATTTTACTATTTTTATCTGGGGTTGTGGTTTCACTTATGGAAATAGTTGTACAAGCAAAGTGTTCATCTCCTGATGTCTTATATCTTCTTTCAGCTGTCAGAACCTTTGTTTTTGGAGATAGGGTCTCTCTGGTATTTAGTTTGGCTGTCTTAGAACTTGCCAAGCAGGCCTTGAACTAACAGATCCACCTGCCTCTGCCTCCTGAGTGCTAGGTTTAAAGGTGTGTGTGTGTGTGTGTGCATCTACACACAGCCTGTCAGAACCTATTGGAGGAGGGCAAGGGCCAGTTTAAGACAATTATTGTATAGCTTGTTCTTTAGCATTATTTCATTCCTGGGCATATTGGTGTCTATAGATACTGTGGCCTGATCTCAAATAATTCTCTCGGAATTCAAGAAGAGTTCAGCTTCCCAAATCATTTGATTCCTTACATGTTTCTGAGGTGTATAGTTGGTTTCACTCTCATTGATTTTAGGTGACAAGGATACTTTATTTTTCAGTCCTGTTATGCAATTCAAAACTTTTGTCTCCCAAGTTATTAGAGTATATGCATTTACTACCACATCCAGTTTTACTTTTATCTTCCTTCATGACTTTCAAAAATCTTACCAGGTGACTTCCACTGTGGATCAGTTTTAAGCTTGCTCCTATAGTTGGTAGTGCCTTGTACTGAGTCAGTTACTCATTTTTGTCATTCCTTACCTAGTAGCCAGAATGCATTTGACTAGAGTTAGGAATATTTGACTATTTGTGGAGTTGATTTAAACCTAAGCTTAAATAATGAGACCTATTTCAAAAATTAAATGTAAAGCTGATTAAGCTGTTTGGACATTCATTGAACTAGAATTGCTTACCACATTAATTAAAAAGTATAACTTCAACACTAGGCCCAGATCCATGGATCTCAAGTTTAGTGGTTTTTCTAATTAAAATTTATTAGTTTCATTATGTATCTATACCATAATACCAGCTTGTAGCGATGTGAAGAAACATGCTTTTAAGAATCAGTAAGTTGGAAAAGTTATTATTCACCTTTTGCATATTTTCTCTTGAAATCTCTGCCTCATGGTCAGTTCTTCCCATTTGGTGCTCTTTCCTCATGTGCCAGGCACAGTTTTACCAGTATGAACCTAGACATGCTGTTTTGGTTGTATATTCTAGCACCAGTTACGGTGTAAGAATGTCTTCCTATGCTTTAATTTTTCATTGTAGACTGTTTTCTTTTTCACAGAAAGCCTTCCTATGATGCTGAAACAGATCCTAGTGAGGGATTAATGAATGTTCTAAAGAAAATTTATGAAGATGGAGATGATGACATGAAACGAACCATTAATAAGGCATGGGTGGAATCCAGAGAGAAGCAAGCAAGAGAAGACACGGAATTTTGAGACTTTTAAGTACTTTGGGGACTGTGATGTGGAATGCTCATGTTTCCAGTAAGGGAATGTTGTTGAACTGCACATAAAGTTCAAAAGATAACTATTTACACAGCCTTCTAAGTAAAGACAGCAGATTCTCCATTTCTTATTGGAGGATTTGATTTAAATAAATATGCTTATTAAACTTTCTCCTTCATTAGCATCCTAGTCATTTTGTTTAAGAAAGGGTTATATGGTATTCTTATTGAAATGTTAAAAAGAAAATCTTACATAATAAAACTGTTACTTTGGTTCTGGCTGAGAGGTAAAAAACTTAAGTACTTGACTATCTGTAACTGACATCTCCCACTAATGTAAAAAATAAAACCAAAATTTTACATAAGATTCAAATTTGTACACAAATTTGCAAGTTACTATAGACCTGTTACCCGTTATTACCAGCTTAAGCAATGTGTGTGCCATGTGCTACCATGTACTGATTTAAGTATATTTATGAACATAAAATTTAAACAAAATACAAATGGCAAAAATAGACAAACATCTTATGTTGGTAAGTACTGCCTTGGATCAGTTCGCTTATAAAAATATAACAATGATGCAAAAGTTTGAAAATTCATCTGTTCTTTTGTTCAGTAAAGTTTGAAGTTTTACATAAAAGATGAGCTATCTGTCTTATAATGTATTTAAAAAGTTAGTCTGTCACTGCATTCACTGTAGTAACATTCAGAAAAGAAGGGCTGTATTGATGGTTCAGCTGTTAAGGCTAAGCTCACTACCAAAAAGAGAAATCAATTAGATACTAGAACCAATACAGCTATAGTTAAGAATTAGGTAAAAGTCAGAACTTTAACATACCAAAAGGGTGGTTTGAACTATAATGCCTCTAGAACTGTGGTACTGAAACATGAAATAAACAGACTGGTGAAACAAACTAGATTGCATACTAGAATATTTAGAATAATAAGAGTGGTGTTTGGTAGGGGAAGATGAGTTTGATTGCAATATAACTTAAAACAGCCATATTCTCCACATTTATAACATCAAAGATATAATTGTAAAAACTAAGGTATACACGTACCAGAAGAGACGAAATTCCATTATAACTTAAGAGTGGGGGGAAAGTCATGATTTAAAGTATAAAAGGAAAATACATGGCAAAACACACAACCAAAACTGATGATCTACTGCGAGGTTCCCAGTAATTATAAATAGTTCATAGAGATAAAAAATAGAAGTTGGGGGAAATGACATTTTCTTCAGTGGTGTAGCCACTGGTAAGTTGCCTGTGCTCCACTAAGTAACCCTAATGAAAGCCATTGGGTCACCAAAACCAAAAGGGGGTGAATAGTTGGAAAGATGGGGATCAGTGGATCTGGATAAGAGAAGATAATGGGAGGTATGAATAGCTCAAACCATTTTGTATGCTATGCATGCTACTTGGAAATACAACAAAAATAGGCTTACCCTGTTCTAGAAAGTACTATGAAAAACCATACCACCGTTAACTTATATTGGGAAACTCCACTGGCTTTTTAAGCACATTTATTTGTGTTTACATTATAAAAAATAGATGTGTGGGAAAAGATGAAAAGGTTAAGCTCATATTGCTAATACCTGTCATAATTAGATGTCTTTTGTTTTTTCTTTTTTGAGACAGGGTTTCTCTGTGTAGCCCTGGCTGGAACTCTGTAGACCAGGTTGGCCTTGAATTCACATAGATCTGCCTCCCCCCCCCAGTGCTGGGACTAAAGGTGTGCATCACTACCATCTGACTAGAGTCTTGTTAACTTGAAAAATTCTAGGGATTATGGAACAGAAAAACAAAAACTTGGAATGATGTATACAGAGTTGGATCTAACAAGACTAATTTTATTATGGTAGATCATAGCAGAAAAGAACAGTGTTGCCCTTAGAACCATTGAAAATAAACTGAAAAGAAAAGCACTAAAATTGAAGGAGAAAAAAGCCTCAGTTTGATCCATTTCTGCTATCAGAAGCATTTCTCACCATTCTGGATGCTTGCAAGTTCAGATGAAAGGGCCAATCTACTTGGTGGTTAAGGAAGGATTGCCCCACCTTTTAATACCAACGGACTGGGCATTAAGTTCCAATATGCATTCTGAATAATAGTATGCACACTGAGTTTAGTACAAAGTTATTCTCAAGCATCTTTAGAGTATTGTCATTTGTCCACCACTAATGAGATGGATTCTAAATAATTTTGTGCTGCAATTAGTGGTACCAGTAATATACTAGAATCTTAATATATTGTAAAAGTAAAGCTGGTGACATTAAGAGTTGATTTTTTTAAAGGTTATTCTTACTATTTTTGAATTATGTATACATTTGTGAGTATTACATGTCAGTGTGGTTATTCAAGGCTGCCAAAGGTGTTGGATTCCCCAGGGACCTGAATTGCAAGTAGTTATGAGCTATCCAATGTGGATGCTAGGAACTGCACTCTGGAAGAGCAGTAAGCATTCTAATCTGTCCTTTGAGTACTAGGCACACACGGACATGGAGCACAGACTTATGTAGACAAAACACCTATACAAATAAACACTAAAAAGATGAGACAAAAGCTATTTAGCAGTTCTTTTCCTCACCATCACACAAAGCTGACACTAAATATAATCTGAAATACCCTCTTTAATGCTCCATCTATTGTTATTCCAAAAGTGATAGTAACTGCAGGCCAGGGAAACTAGCTGAGGGGTACAATGCCATAGAAAAATGACTTGTCAACTAGATGGACATTTATAACTTTTGTGAAATCACTCACTATTAAAAAACAGGTTATTTTGTTACTCAACATCAAACTTCAAGGAAAACACCATTATTCCACAGAAAATATTTTTATTCCTCTTATACCTGGTGTGGGAGTAATGTGCCTATTGTAAAGTTAAAGAGAAAAATCACATTTCTTCTTTTAAAAACCTAAAAATAATTTAACTGTAGACAATATCAGGCAGACTAAACATAGTACACCCTAGAAAAACTAGGGTTTGGTTTTTATTAGTAAAGTCTCTTTTGCCAGAATTGACTTCCCGGGCAGCTGAGTAGGTTGTAATCAGCTGAAACTGATTTACCATATTGCTCGCTGAACTCCAGAAAGTAGTCCATGGTCAGCTAAGTGGCGAAAGACAATGCGACTAAGCCTCCAACGACGCTTTACACCACGTGGACGGGATGTCATAACACATCGATTTCTGATTCTCACAGGACAGCTATCCCGTGGAAGGGCAGCAATTTCTTCACTAGCCATTTCCTAGGGGAAGATTATAACACAGATCACAACTCAGACCTAAAGCAAAGGAAGGATGGACTAGAATCTTAGCCAAACACTGGATGTGGTAGTAAGACTTAATCTAAAAGTGGAAACAAACCAGAAATGGATATTTTTCCAAGATGATTTTAAAGATTACAATGAGAAGAAACTACAAACCATAATTACAAAGTATATTTTTATAAACAATATATACTGTGTATTCACCACTGAATTATTTTATAAAATAACATTGCAGCACCCAAGGTTTTATCTGTCTTCTTCTAGGGGCACTGGCTAATAGCTAAAATATTCAGTAACACCTGTAAGTACACATTTCCCTGTTGTAAACTGTATCTAATATGCTTGTATAACCTTTTTCCTTTCATTTGGCTTTTTTAATTCAACAATATGCTTGTGAGACCACCTACACTGTTCCAAGTGTCATTAATATGCTCAGTCTCCTTGGTGTTCATTTTGTTGAAAATGCTGGAATTCCTTGACCTATTCTATAGCCGGTGGAAATCTGAGTAGTAGAGTGCTGTTCCATATGTGCATGTTCAGGTCATTTAGAAAAAGTATGTGAATGCATTTATTGCCCCCATACAGACACACATTAATTCTCTGAAGTAGGAAAACTTGAAACCTGAGGTGATGAAACAGTAAGAAAGACCGTGGCTTGAGACTACTAAAAAGCTGGATCACCAAGAGCTTGAAAGTCTTATGATAAAGATTCTGACTACTGCAGAAATAAAAGAGGTGATTAGACAAGATATACATGAAAAAAAAATTGTAATATCCATGAATCTTGTACAAGTGATGTCTGAAACTAGTGACTGAGAAGAAAAAGTAATGGTATATTAGGCTAATGTTGTGAGTAAAAATTTATTCTTACATAAAAGAGGGTGTTTATATGTATACTTACACCACTCTGTCAGATGTTGGCACGTACCACTGACTGTGGAACCAGGATGCAGAGGCAGGTAGAGCTCAGAGTTCGAGGCCAGCCTGGTCTATAGATCAAGTTCCATGACAGTCAGAGCTACACAGAAATCCTGTCTCAAAAATATAAATTCAGCTGATTTGTATAAATGTTTTTTCTATGAACTTTCAGTAAGGTAAGTAGCCTTAAGTTTATTATTTCCTACAAGCCTCTTCAGTACATGTACTGTGTCATCACTTAAGTGTATAACCATATGCCACAGGAAGCCAAACACGGTTGACACCCTCTAATTTAACTAGAAGTACATAAAGAAAGGAAGGCTAAATGGAAGACTACCTAACCATGGACAAGGACAGGGCAAAAGTTCAGGAGGGCAGGTCCTGAGTGAGGACCACAGGTCATGTGTTTTGTAGATAGCCCATGCATCAGTAATACCTCCAAATGCCCTGAAGGTTCCAAGACAGGGATGAAATTGGGGAGACCTTGGGTCAAAATAGTTCTTAGTTTCTATGTGGTCACACTTGATAGTACTGTGTAGGGACTGTATCATGAAATGGCTGAAAAACCAGGAAGGAGTGAACAATTAATTGTCCTTTAGCCTAAACTTACCATAGTTGCTTTTAAGGCTATTTATGTAAACGTGAGTATTTGATCTTATTTTCCAGAAATTACAATACTAAATTGCAGTAAAAACCATCAAAAAGCATTTGAAATGACGTCAGTTAATGATTTTGTGAAAGACAGGGAACCCAACTGGCTAACCTGAAGGTCTTTTGGCAAAATGGTATTCTTTCTGAGAGAATTGATCCGAAGTCTCTCATCTGCATATTCATAAGCCATTTTTCGTCTCTTCACATCACGCAACATTTTCCAGTCTACATAGTAACCTCGCACTTGACTTGACGTTGATGGAGGGACTACCTAAAAGACAGACAAGGATCATGGGTACTGCAAGTGTTTTTCCAATCCTGTAAACTTCTTTCAGTCTCTACTTAAGACTTTTAGCAATGAAAAAGCATTAATTACATTTATTTGGCACATATGCATGCATGAATGTGCTTGTATATGGATGGGCATGTATGTGGAGATCAGAGGACAACTTTCTGTCAGCTCTCTCCTCTACCACATGGGTCCTTGAATTGAACTAGACAGGCTTGTTGGCAAGCATTTTATCCACTGAGCCATCTCACCAGCCCAAAACTTAATATTGTAAAAAACTGATTTATTACATTTATTTATTTGTGTGTGCATGTGCATACTATAACACGTGGAAATCAGAGGACAATTTGCAGGAGTGTTCCTCTTAACCATTGTCCTCTGCTCCAAATCTTTAATTTTCTGATGACTTCAATGTTCCTTAGTTATAAAATCAGAAGCAATGTGAGGAGAATTTCCAAATGTCCATACCTATCCACTCAGAACGTTTGCACTACATTCTCTACCCCCTCCGGTTATGTCAACTCTCTATGTTATAGTGGCCACCAGACATGGATATGGTTGTGAGCAGTACAACTTGGGACATGATTCTTGATTTTAATTCACTTAAAGATTCAAATATCAAGCAACTTTGTTTTCGGCACAATTAAAATTTTCCACTACATGATGCAAAGTTTATTATCCCAACAGCGGTATGTTTTAAGTATAAGATACAAATAATATTTTGAAAACCTACTTCCAACAGAGGGATGTAAATATCTCACAAATCACTATAATCTTGACTTGTGAAACTATGGCTATACTTAGCTAAAAATAACTATCAAAATTAACTGCACCTACTTTCTCGCTTCAGTTTAAATACTAGAAAAAATACCAATCACCCTTGTGGTTGGCTTTATATTTCTATTGGACAAAACTGCTACAAATGACTTGTACATGATCCTAAGATCAAACGTCATACTAAGACCCTAAGTCACCTCCTGCTTGCAAAGGCAGAGCTCTGGCGATCCTTCCCCGTTCTCTGGATCACCATTTCCTACTTTAGTCGGTCTCCCCCTCTAAGACGTTGTTGCTTATATCTAATACGATATCTCAAGAAAGTGATGTTGCTTCTGTCACGGTAAAGGAAAAATAACTCAGGTCTCTCTCTGGCTGACAACCCTCCCTTGCAAAACTCTCCCGAAGACTTCTCCACTTTCCTTTGCTATTTTCCCAGTTTCTGTACGCATCGTAACACTGTCGCTCCTCAAACCTGCAGTCAGTTCCAGCCCTCTCTTTAATTAACCTTTCAGTTTTAGCGGAATGGCCCGCTCCCTGTTCGAAATCCTGTCACCACCTGCTTCCAAGCCACCGCGTCTTTGGTTGTCCTCCCTGACAGCTGCTCCCTTGCACAGTCGGAGCCTCTGAGGCTTCAACCTCCGACCCCTTTTCTTCTCCATGTCCTCGCATTTCCTTAAAGCTGGAGTCAACCTCTTAGCTTCCAAACCACCGCCCCACGCTTAAACACTAAATTCTCGCTTGCCGCTTAGGCCTCTCCGAACCAAGCAGGAAGGGGAAAACGGATGGAAGGAGCCCTGGGATTTGTCCTCCGTGCGCATGACAGTTCACGGGGTGGCGGGGAACCCACAGGGCACGGGGTTCAGGGGTGAGAAGTGAGCGGGCGAGAAAGGCAAGGGACTGACCTGCCGGAAAGTCCGCAGCAGCGAGCCCAGCAAGGACGCCGCCATGTTGTCTCACACCAGCCAACCGCTGCCGCGTTATGACGCCGGAAGAGGTGGCTTGAGGGGCGGGGCCTGTGGCTAAAAGGGCGGACCCGGGGCAGGATTTAGCCTATAAGGAGGGAGGGGCTCGGTACGGGATTTGCGCTCTCGCGGTATTTCACGGCATCTGCGCAAACCATCCATTCGGCCCGCCCACTCCGGAAGAGGTGGTGCAGTGAGCCAGCTCGCTGCTCTCGGTCTTTATTTCCGGTGCCCTGTTGTTGCCCCGCCCAACCTGCTCTCGGAGTCTCCGCGCTGGCGCCGCCAGGCGGAAACTTGCCAGCGCCGGTCACTCATCCTGCAGAACTGGCGCATGTCACAGTTCTGCCGTAATGGTGATGTTAGCGGCACAGTTAGAGTTTCATTTGCGTGCCTAGGGTTTTAATAACTCACATTATGTCTGTATATTGTTGTACACATTTTACTTTTTTATTTGTCACCGAGTATATGTGTGTGTCGGATGGTGATGGTGAAGGTGATGTGTGTGTGTATGTGTGTATGTCATTGGAAACCTGCTGTTTTCAGTCTAGTACTGTGTCATAGATGTGTTGATTTGCTGAGGAACCGCCCACTGGGCTATTTACGTAGGAACATCAAAGGAGAATCCTTTCTTTAGTGATTTCAATTTATTGAACAATTCTTTCAAAGAATAATTTAACTTTATTTATTTTGATTTTTCAAGACAGGGTTGCACTCTGTAAACCAGGCTGGCCTTGAACTCATAGAGCCACCTGCCTCTGCATCCCAAGTGCTTGGTTTTAAGGCATGCACCACCCGGCTTTATTTAGCTTTATTTTATGTGCATGAAAGTATCAGATACCCTGGAACTGGAGTTACAGATAGCTGTAAGCTACCATGTGGGTGCTGGGGATTGAACCCAGGACCTCTGGAAGAACAGTCAGTGCTCTTAAGCACTGAGTCATCTCTCCAACCCTTATTGAACACTTCTAACAGACTAGAGAGAATCAGACTGAAACCATCTGACAGGAGAAGATGTCATACTAAGATCTAAACATTCATAGACTAGCCCCAGCAGGCAATCATCGGTCTCAAACCCTTGTTCACACCCTTCTGGAACTCCCTACAATTGGGCCTCATCTACAGTTATCTCTAGACAAGGCTATACAGCAAGCTCTTATTATCTTTTGTTGTTTTAAGATGCCTATTTCTGGCCGGGTGGTGGCCGTGCATGCCTTTAATCCCAGCACTTGGGAGGCAGAGGCACGTGGATGTATGTGAGTTCAAGGCCAGCCTGGTCTACAAAGTCCAGAACAGTCAGGACTGTTACACAGAGAAACCCTGTCTCGAAAATCAAAGAAAAAAAAAAAAAGGGAAAAGAGTCCTGTTTCTTTTTTAAAGGGGAACAGAAAGAAGGTGTGGGAGTAGATGGTGGAAAGGTGGGAAGATCTGGGAGGAGTTGAGGGAAGGGAAACTGTGATCAGAATATAATGTATGAATTTTTTTTGTTTTCAATTAAAAAGGTTAATGTGTTACTATTTCAGCAAAGTTTTTGGAAGGGACTTAAAAGTCAGACAGACACACTTATAGGCTATAGAGTAAGAAATGAGTTTTACACAATAAATTATTTCACAGATCTGTGGGATTTATTGAATTCCTAAAAGAATGAGAAAACAAATCTGAAAGATCAAATATTCCCACTTAACCTGTCTCTGAAAGTTAAACCTTTAACTTTTTCCATAATATAGTTCTTAATTTTCTCCCAAATACAGTGCTTTCAAATCCCTGAGAATGAAGGGCATAAGAAGTCCCAAACTAAGAACACAGAGAGAAAGAAGAAGGCAGAAGCCACAGCTTTTACAAAGCGTGCCATAGGTACTATGTGTAGAGAGTGTGCATTGTAGTTTGTCTATATGGTTAAGGGTTAGCAACATACAAGATTTTTTCCTATGAGATTTTTTTTCTTAAATTATGATTATACCAAAACTATAGTTAAAATGTTTATGCACCTGCTTGTTATATATCAGGTAGAGTGGGGATATGCATGTCTTTGATAGCTGTACACCCACTTACTGGGTTCATATACTTGTCCAGTGAGCAAGCGACACATATTACATCTTCCCAACAATTCAAGGTAATTCACGATAACAGAAAAATCTCCAAAGAAAATAACTGGAAATTGCATTAAATACAGCTTTCATTAGAAATAAGTTTAATTGAAAGATAACAATATACATTATTTTTTAATGAGCTTTCAGTTTGAGAAACTAGCAGAACTAAATCATAAGATTTATGGTAAAATTGGTAATTCATGGAAAACTGGGAGACAGATAATACATCCTTCATCCAGAAAAAAAGATATCATGTGATGTGAAGCCTAAGCCACCTAGGAAACTGGCCCAATGAGTGAAGAGAACCAATGACTGGTGACAGGTCTTGGACTAACCAACTGCATATTTTTTAAAATGGCTTTGAATTTTTTAAAGGTGAAGTGCATGACCGTGATTTCTTAGAATTGAATCAGAAGATCCCAGAGTTCTGCTGTGTTTGGAGACACAAATGGAATGCTGAGTGATGAGAAATCACTCGAGATGCAGAATTGTGGAAAGGTAACCCTGGGACTAAATGGCACTGTGGCTATGGCAGCAGATACAAAGGACTGGAGCTCGGGAAAGAGGGTTGGGACACTTTGCCATTGGCCAGTGGAGAGACAAAGCCCCCAACTGGAATCACTTTAATTCTTTAGTTCACCTTCTGCTGCTCACACCTCTGTCTTCTCTATGGCAATTTCTTCCTTCTTCTTTTAAAAAACTTTATTGATTCTGGGTGGAGTTCACATCATGCATCCCAATTCCACCCATCTTCCTCTCCCCTTGCTTCCACCCTCTGCCCTTCTCTGTGGTGATTTCAATAGCTCAAAGTCTATTAATGGAGTCTGTGGGGGGAGGGGCTTGGGGAGACTGCATCTTCTCTCTGTTCTTGAATGTATTTGGAAACGCTTCAGAATTTTCTTGTAGAGAGTTTCCATGCACATGAACGTAATATATTCTGCTTAACAAGCCAAAAGCCTTTAAGATAAAGCTGTCCCCCAAGTTTCTCAGTTTCTACATTAAAAGAAGAGATCAAACTTTCTTCAAACATCTGCTTGTGTTAGTCTGGAACTAACTATAGATACCACGGCTGTAGTCTTACTGAATGTATACCTTCCTGGACATACCAGTGCCTGCTGCCACCTTTTGGATCTACGCTTCTGCCCTTCAACTGGGATCATCCCATCTTTTATCAGCTTTCTTTGTGTAAAACTAGTTTTGAAAATATCTTTCCCCCTGGTAGGCTATGTTTTTATCCTGCACTGTGGTATGGCAAGGAACATGGCCAAGAATTCATCACCACAGTGTCCTAAGAACAGTCAGGAGAATTATAACTGTCTAGAGTTAGGCACAGGACCTTGGCCAGATCTTCCTGGGAAGTAGCCAGAAAGACTTCAAACCCTAGGAGTCAGGTAGATCTGATTGGTTTCCTCATTGAAAATGACAAACTAAGCTATGAATGATAGTGCATAGCTGCAATGCCAGCTCTTGGGAGATAGACAGAAGGATCAGGGGTTCAAGGCTAGCCATCATGGGCTACAGCAGGAGTTCAAAGCCATCACAGGCTACAAGGAGTCCCTGTCAAAAAAGGACAAAAACATAAGCAAACAACAACAAAAGACAATGACTAATTGGTAGCAAATGGAAAAGTATCCCAGGATCTGGTGCTCTCAGGCCTGGTAGGGTAAGTACTCATGACTTATAAGCTTTTGGTACTGTTTATCAGTTTATTATAAGGGATAGAGACAGACAGACAGATGGAAGAGATGTAAAAGGCAAGATATAGGAGTTGAGATAAAGAACTTCATGCCCTTTCTGCTCTCCAGGAAACTCCATTTCCTTCACTCCAAAGTTCAGAGAGTTCCTTTAAACATCTTTAGTGACTATTAAAGTATAGTAAAATGTACATAATGCTTTCATCTATTTTGTACTTCTATAATAGGATACTTAAGACTGGGTAATTCATAAAGGACAGAGATTTGGGATAGAAATGTAACTCAGTTGTAGACAGCCTGTTGTATGAGGGTGTATGGGGAATCTCTGGATAGATTCCTAAAACTACATAAACTGGGCTAGTGGTTCATGCCTGTCATGAGTACTTGGGAGATGAAGGTAGGAGGCTCAAAAATTCAGTTACACAAAGTCTGAGGTCAGCCTGAACTTTATGAGACTGTCTCAGACACAGCAAACACAAGTGCTGTCCACAGAGTCCAGAAGAGGGCATCAGACCCCCTGGAACTAGAGGTACAAACCCTTGTGAGCCATCATGTGAGTGCTGGGAATTGAACTCAGGTTCTTTGGAAGAGCAGCCAGCTTAACCACTGAGCCATATCTCCAGCCCCATGTGTACTATCACTACAGCAAGAGAATAAGTGACAGAAGAACCAGCTCCACTTAAATAACAAACCCACTATGAGCGAGGTGGTGGTGGCACATGCCTTTAATCCCAGCACTCGAGAGGCAGAGGCAGGCAAATCTCTGTGAGTTCGAGGCCAGCCTGGTCTACAAAGCTACACAGAAACACCCTTTCTTGAAAAACAAATAAACAAAAACAAACAAAACAAAACCACTTTGAAGGCAACAAGTCACCTCCATCACATGATAGTAATCTATTAGAACATGATCTAATCACCTCTTAGAGTTCGGCCTCTTTGTTGCATAGGGTGTTAAGCTTAAACGTATAATATAAAGTTATCCATCTTAGCCATTCATGGATACAGGTCAGTAGTACTAACTACCTTCATATTATTTTGCAACTGTTCCTATCATTTACTTCCCTGCCATTTACTTACGCCCTCTTCTGGCCTTTGTTGACATTTCATGTATATGGCAAACAGATATACATGCAGGCAAAACACCCATACACATAAAATAAGAATAAATAAAAAAGAAGGCCCTTGTCAGATCCAGGCACCTTCATGTTATACTTTTGAGCTTCCAGAACATCAGGAAATAAATCTCTGGAATTTATGTTTGTTGGTTTTCATCTTTTGAGACAGTGTCTTGT